AGTACCCTCCCAAACTACCAAGATGTCGTCATATACCGCCTCCACACCTTCAGGCCTCCCCACTTTTTACCAAAAATTTCTACATCCTCCCATTTGGCCAAAAAAATATTGGCCAAGCTGGGGGCGAATTTCGCCCCCATTGCTACACCCCTCTGCTGGATGAAGAATTCCCCTCTTATACCAAAAATAATTATTCCTCATGCTATAATCTAATAGCTGAATAATAAGTTTCCTCTGCTTTCTATGGAGCTCAGAAAAATTCTGCAAACCCCATTTGATGGAATTCCAAGCCATCCACATGTTTTATATTGGTATAGAGGGAATTTCACATCAATGGTGGCTTCCTAACAAAGAGTGTTTTCTGTAACCTCCATTCCCTCCAAAAGTTGTAATATGTCCTGACTATCTTTTACAAAGGAAGGCATCTGCCTAACAATGGGCTGCAGATAAATTTGGCCAAATGGGAGGATGTAGAAATTTTTGGTAAAAAGTGGGGAGGCCTGAAGGTGTGGAGGCGGTATATTGACGACATCTTGGTAGTTTTGGGAGGGTACTGATGTAGAATTTAACAGCTTTATAGACCATATTCACACTAATAAATATGAACTGGGGTTTTCAATTGCTAAGAGTAGGGGAATCGGTTAATTTCCTAGATCTACATATGTTTAAATCTGAAAACAAATTGTGTTTCAAAACCTTTTTCAAAGATACAGATAGAAATGGGTTATCCCTACCAACAGTTGCCATCACCCTTCATGGATTCAAGGAATCCCAAAGGGCCAATTCATACGTATTATGAGAAATTGTTCGAGGCTGGAGGATTACATTATACAATCAGAGTTGATAAAAAAATAGGTTTTGTGTCTAAAGGATATGATCCCAAAATATTAGAGAAAATTAGATATAAAGTGAGTCAGAATTATATAGGAGACAGGAAGAAAAAGAATATCATAAGTAAGAAACATCGTGATGATAAAGTAGTGGATTGTGCCTTCATCTCAAAATTTAGCTCTCTAACGCAATTTAGCTGTCAGTACAAAGGAGTAGAAAATATTATTAGGAAGCACTGGCCTTTATTACAGAAAGATCCCATGTTGGGAAAGATCTTACCTGAAAAACCTCGGTTTATTTATAGAAAAAAGTGAGAATCTGCGTAATCTATTGGTAAAAGGGGTGATATCTCCCCCTAAGAAGCCGAAGATGTTTGGACTTCAAGGCTTTTTTCCTTGTAGAAAGTGTAAAATTTGTAAAATCACACAGGGATGAAAGAGAGGAAAATCACAACTTTTACATCTTGTAAGACGGGGGAATCTTTTGTAATTAAGAAATTCATTACCTGCAATATGAAATATGTGACTTATCTATTAGAATGCCCCTGCCAAATTCAATATGTTGGTAGAACCAAGAGAGATCTGAAAATTAGATTGAAGGAACATGTTGAAAATATAAAAAAAGGAAAGAAGAAGAAACACAGTGTATCCAAACATTTTTGTGAGTGTCATGGTTTGGATCCGAGCCACTTGAAATTTTTGTGGTATCGATGTCCTGGAATCCATTGGAGGGGATGTAATAGGGTACAGGAGATATCCAAAAATGAAAACCTTTTGGATCCATAGGCTGAATACTTTAAAACCCAAGGGTCTTAATATCGAACTAGACCTAAACTGTTTCATCTCCGACCAGTAGTTGAATGCTCGAATTACCGGGTTAATTACTTATTTTAATTTTATTTTTTTTTTTTTTTTTTTTTTTTTTATTATTATTTATTTATTTTTATATTTATTTTTATATTTCCTTGTAATTAGGAGAAGAAGAAGGGGAAAGGAGAAAAAGGAAAGAATATATTTTATAGTTTTTTTTTTTTTTGTTTTTTTTTTTTTAATATTTTATATTTTATTAAAAAATTTTTAATGATATTTTTTTTTTTTTTAATGGTTTACTGATTAGAAATTTTGGAAGTATATAGTATGAATACTCTTATCTAGATGAGGCTTAGGGGATGGAGGGTTCTGTATTAAAGATATATCTGGTGACATTCATAATTGGGAGGGGAGGGAACTTACTGGAATCTATATAACTTATTGTTAATTTAGATATTTTATTTTATTTTAATTGTTTGTATAGGGGATACTATTGGACCCTGATTGTTGTTTAACCTTTATGAAGTACTATGATGTCTTGGCAAAGAACAGTTGATATATCGGGAGGTGTGTGGGTAACAGTCTTTGCCATTTAATAATGGCTTTATTGAAATGTTGTTCCGTTCCAAAGGCCCTGTGTTCCGTTCCAATGGCCCTGATATGCTGTATACAAGTGAGTGAGGATATCTGTTGTTCCAGGATGTAAGATGGCCGCGGCAATTATTTCCCCGCCTTGGTTGGTATTTAAGGGGAATGAGGAGTCACGTCCATATCAATGTTGATAAAGTCCGGATGTGACGAAACGCGTCCGGGGCACGTGACGTGGTGACGTAGGTACGCTCTCTTCCGGAAGTGCGGCGACGGCCATCTTTGATCCTGGTACATCGGCTGTGTTTTCCTGCAATCCTCGTGGGGCGTTGAGGTACTGGGTACTCACGGCAACCGTTCCTCCCTCGGGAGTGTGATAGTGTGGCAATCTGTACACTTGTGAGGAGAGGAAGGATTGGGAATATACCGTTTGTGAAGCTGATGTCATCTTACTTGAATGTAAGTTGCTACAATAAAGTGCTATAAGTTTTATGATATATACTGATCCATGGTCTGTTATTGAGGTCTGTGGGAAGTGGCTGGAAAGGCTGAAGGAATATCTATAAAGTGGAAAGAAATACTCAGACCCCTGATACCATTTTGAGGGTAACTATGAACTCCCTTGGTGGTATGTAGTGGAGTGACTCCTAAGGTTGAGGGTTATCTTTCTTCTCACGGTTATGGTGGCACATTGATTTCTATGTGCATGAAACACGTGTGGCACGGTTGTTTAGATACCTTTTTTCTTTGAAGATATCACACATGTTGAGCTCTTTTTTTCTTGAGGTATATGAAGATCGGGTTTGAAGTATATCACTAAGAATGTTGGAAGATATGAAGAATTAAGATATCACAGATAAAGATTGGAAAAATTTGGGACTCTTAATTTGGGACTCTTTTTTGGACTCTTTTTTTTTTTTTTTTTTTTTTTTATTTTATTATTTTTTACACAATTTTTTTTTGGATGATTACACATTTTTTTGGGGGTTTTGGTATTATGTTTACACTACATTGTTATTAGAGGGTAATCAAGCTACTATATTTTGATGATTTTTGTACTTCAGGGGAAGGATTGTGTTCGTAACTTTGGTGGGGATTCTACTTTGGGAAAGGAGAGTGCTATTTCTTTATACAGGCATAGGATAATATCTCTGTCTTTGTAGTGAAGAAGTTTCAATAGGAAGGGTCTATCAGGGCCCCCTGGTAGCAGAGCTCGGGGAGGAACCCTGTGTGCTCTTTCCACAGAGAAAAATGGTGTTAGGTCATTATTACTATTATTATACAGGATTTAATATAGCGCCAACAGTTTGCACAGTGCTTTACAACATAAGGAAGACGGTAAAATTACAGTACAATTCAGTACAGAAGGAATATGAGGGCCCTGCTTCATGGAGCTTACAATCTAAAGGAAGGGGGAGGTGATACTAAAGGTGATAGCTGCGGGGGATGATCTGGTGGAGGTGATTAAAGTACAGTTCTTAGGTGGAGGTGGGGTAGGCTTCCCTGAATAAGTGAGTTTTCAAAGATCGCCTAAAGGCAGACAGGTGGGGGCTGATCGGACAAACTGTGGTAGGGAGTTCCAGAGGATGGAGAAGTCCTGGAAGTGAGTGTGGGAAGAGGTGATGAGGGAGCTAGAGAGGAAGATATCTTAGGAGGAGCGGAGTGGGCGATTTAGGCGATATGTCAGGGCTCCGGATATGACCAGAGGTATGTGAACTGACGCAGGGAAATGCAGGCTTCAGATATGTTATAATAAGAATATTTATTATCAGCTGCACAAATAAACAAACACAATGCAAACGAGCTAACCTTAAGCTAATAGGTACACAGAGCAAACAAACCAATAGGTACACAGTGCAGTCAGGGCTGGAGAGGTGGAATGGTCAGGGCAGGCCAAGCCCACAGCACGGATTTCCTCAGGGCGCGTGGTCTAAGTCCCAGCCTGCTATTCACCAGGGCCCCTGATGATGGGGATGGACTTGGTGCAGACTGGAACCAGGTTGTGACCCCTGAGTGTGTCCGGCTGTGGTAGAGAGTGCTGGCAGGTCCAGGTCCGAGCGGGATGGATGGATGGATGACAGTCAGGAGCGACGTGGTCAGACTAGCCGGGTCAGTAACGGTGGGGACAGGAACGGTACAAGCAGCAGACAAGGGTAGTCAGGTCACACGCCGGGTTCAGTAACTCACGGGCAGCACGGTACAGAGGATCAGGCAGAAGGATGGTCAGGGACGAGCTGGGGGTCAGAGCAGGAGAATGTCAGCGATCAGAACAGGCAGGGTCGGCAACAAGGAACGCACTACAGGAACACAGGAATCAGGAACAGGAACGCAGGTTTACAAGGTACAGGGGCCCATCGAAAACACACACCAAGGCACAGACTGCAGGTCTGGCCATCCCTTAAATACACCTGCATAATCAGCTTCAGGTGTTTGGCTGGCTGCAGGGTTGAGTCTCTGATTGCTGGGAGCACCCGATGGCCAGCCCTGGTACTGCAGCCCACAAGGCAGGTGAGTCCCACCATTACTGGCAAGTTCATTCCTGACAGTACCCCCCCCTCAATGAGCGGCCTCAGGACGCTCCAAACAGTCCTAGCTGGCACATCGGGCTGGACTCCGGGCAGCGGCACATCGGGCTGGACTCCGGGCAGCGGCACATCGGGCAGGACTCCGGGCAGCGGCACATCGGGCAGGACTCCGGGCAGCGGCACATCGGGCAGGACTCCGGGCAGCAGCACATCGGGCAGGACTCCGCAAAACAAACCAATGAAAAACACAGCGGCACATCGGGCATCGGGGACTCCGGGCAGCGGCACATCGGGCTGGACTCCGGGCCACCAGGCGGAGCAGCAGACACCGGATCACCAGGCGGAGCAGCAGGCACCGGGCCATCAGGCGGAGCAGCAGGCACCGGGCCACCAGGCGGAGCAGCAGGCACCGGGCCACCAGGCGGAGCGACAGGCATCAGGCCCCCAGGCAGAGCGGCGGGGCGCCGGGCCCCCAGGCGGAGCGGCGGGCGCCGGGCCCCTCAGGCGGGAGCGGCAGGCACCGGGCCCCCAGGAGGGGCGACAGGTATCAGGTCATTTGGCTCGACAGCGGGCACTGCGTCATCTGGCAAGGCAGTGGGCACCGAGTCACCAGGCACGACAGTGGGCTCTGAGTCAATTGGCACGACAGTGGGCACCGGGTCATCAGGTACCGGATCGTCTGGATCGACAGCGGGCACCGGGTCATCTGGCGTTGGATCGTCTGGCTCGACAGCGGCATCATCGGGTCACCAGGCATGACAGCGGGCACTTGGTCACCAGGCATCAGGTCATTTGGCTCGCCAGCGGGCATCGGGTCACCAGGCATGACAGCGGGCACTGGGTCATCAGGCGTGATAGGATCATCAGGCTGGATCAGTTCATCAGGCTGGGTACAGACATCAGGCTGGGTAGAGGCATCAGGCTGGGTAGAGGCATCAGGCTGGGTAGAGGCATCAGGCTGAATTGTGGGCGCCGAGGCACCAGGCTGCACCACGGAAGGCAGGTTCTCAGATGGGAGGCTGACCGGTTTGGATACTGGCAGGATGGTATTGGTTGGAAAGAACTTTCGCCTTTTCCTGGTTTTAGTTACCGGAGCACTGTAAGTAAGCGCAGGTTTGTAAACGAATGGAGCAGCTGGAGACAGAGAAGAGCTGGAGGATGGAACAGGGGAGGGAACAGTTGCTACAGAGGGCTTCTTTACAGGGTTAAAGGCAGGATAGGTGCAGCGAGTGGGAACAGGGTACTGACATGCGGTAGATAGCAGGGTATACTGGGCTGTAACTGGAGGTGCTGTTAGGAATGCAGGAATAGAGCTTTGAAGAAATAGATTAGAAGCAGGACTGGGTTTTTGCAAGCTGACTGAGGCTGGGTGCAACAAGTCTGACCATGTCTGCAGTATGGGTTGAACAAAGCTCAGCTTACACAAAGCCTGTCTGGTCAATGACTGCACTGCGTTTATACAATCCCTTAATACCTGTGGTGAACATGCAGCATAATGCTCCAAGAAGCAATCCACATCATCCTCTAAATAACCATACCAGGGACTCTACCTGGTCTGCACTAAATGGTGGCAAAAAGTCATTCCTGCTTTCAAGGGTACCAGATGAAGCCAACTCTACACAAACCTGAATCAAAGGTTGCACCTCAGAGAACTCTGTGCCCTGACCTACTAGAACATGAGCGATCCGTATACATTCTAGCAGTTGATCCCGGGTATACTCCCTCAGAGCCTGATAAGCATATTCTCTGTCATCAAAAACCAGCAGAGACAAATACACAACCTCATCAAGATCCATCCTTCCCAGCAACAAGCCAAGATGGCTTCCCTGTGCAGCCACTTCTGGTCAGGATTGGCCTTGGTGTAATGTCAGGGCTTCGGGTATGACCAGAGGTATGTGAACTGACGCAGGGAAACGCAGACCAGGTATGTTATAAACAATAAGACAATTTATTAAAGACTAACAATACAAACATAAACGCAGTGCACCAAACCCCAAGCTAACACAAATACATACAACAAGGTGAAACAAACCCAAACCTAAACTGATACAGATACACAGGTACATACACATATAGAGCACAACGTAATCAGGCAGGCCGGGTCAATAACTATCGGGCAGGTAGGTACAGGAGGAGCAGGCGGAGAGAATGGTCAGGGTCACAAGCCAGGGATCAAAACAGGAGAAGTCAGCAGAGGTCAGGATCAGACCTGGTTGGCAACAAGTCAGGCAGAGGCAGAGGCAGGAACAGGAACGCAGGTTACAAGATACAGGGGCCCATGGAAAAAACACACACACCAAGGCACAGACTGCAGGTCTGGCCATCCCTTAAATACACCTGCATAATCAGCTTCAGGTGTTTGGCTAGCTGCAGGGTTGAGTCTCTGATTGCTGAGAGCACCCGCTGGCCAGCCCTGGTACTGCAGACCACAAGGCAGGCGAGTCCCACCATTACTGGCAAGTCCATTCCTGACACGATATCTGTGGCTGAGGTTGGCAATGTAGCTAGGGGCAGTGTTGTGGATGGCTTTGTAAATTGTGGTTAGTATTTAGAATTTTATATGTTGGGTTAGTGGAAGCCAGTGAAGGGATTATCTTTTCCAAAGGTAGAGAGCCAAGATTCAATAAAATCTACAGGGCCCCTACCCTCAGCTTTTTCATGCATACCCATGTTCCGTAGATTACTGCGTCGGAATCTATTTTCTATATCCTCAACTCTGATGTTTTAGCTGAAATGATGCTAAAGTATTGTTCTAGAGGGACAGCCCATCCTCTATGGTGCTCACCCTACCCTCCAGCACAGTAGTTCTTTCTCTACTCTTCTGCATATCATATCTAATGTGAAGTATATCCTCCTCCATTCCCTTAAATTCCAGTGTTAGTTGTGTGAGTGAGGAACCACAGGTATGAACAGCTGTAGCCTGTAAGTATTTCTTTCAGTGTGGGTTCCAGATGGTCCGCCTCAGTGTTCTCAATGAGTGAGGGTGAGGATGGCTGTAATGTACTCACTGCATCCAGGAGTAGGAAGGCATCAGGGTTATCAGAGCTGGCTGGTCTGCACCAGAGGCATTTGGCAGAGGAGGGGACGAGGGCTCTGGTGGTGAGTGCACCTTATTCGGTGTGTGTGCATATTTCCCCAGCTTAACAGCCCTGCATCTGCTTGACGGTCTTTTGCAGTACACTGCGGGAGTGGGGCTCCACCATGTTGGGTAGGCCGCACAGAAGAAGCGCCATCCTCCCTCTTCCTGGTCATGGCTGCAGAGCTCTGGAGTAGTGGTGGATGTGGCAGGGTGGGTTACTACATAGCTGTAGCAGTGTCTCTTAGCACTACCGCTGATCTCTGGGTCTCAGTGCATGATCAGAGGCAGGATTCTGTTGGAGCTATAGAGTAGTGTGTGTACTAGCATGGGCAGCCAAGCCACACACACCCTTCCCCCCACCGTGGACTGTCTACTTTCCAAAATAAAAGGTAATTTGGGGGATATTTGTACTATCATGCCATTTTGGACCTCGAGAAATGAGATAGGCCATTAGTACATCACGAATGACCAATTTTCAGATATACTCTATATCCTATAGTTTGTAGACTCTATAACTTTCCTACAGACTAAATAATATACACTGATTTGGGTTATTTTTACCAAAGAAATGTAGTAGAATAAAATATGGCCTAACATTTATCAAGAAAGATTATTTATTTGCAAAATTTTATTACAGAAACAAAGAAAAACTATTTTTATTCTTTTTTCAAAATTTTCAGTCTTGTTTCGTTTAATTAGCAAAAAAAAACAGTGGTGGTTAAAGTGTTACAAAACCCAGGACCCTGCAATCACTATATCTGGTTTCCCACAGTACACAGAACATGGAAGTGCAATTATGTTAGTAAATATAAACTGATAAATATGTTTTCTCATCAGCAGTTATAGCAGCCTTGTGACTTCTATCAGTGTGCAGCAGAGCACTGGTTAAAGCTTGTAGGAGGAGTTTTCTTTCTGCTCTAAAAGGATGCTAAACCCCTGACCTCTATCTGGACAGTGCTGATTGGCTCTGTGCTGCTCACATGCACTCTCCCAAGAAAAAAAAAAAAAACCTCTCTAGCAATGCACACTAAACTGAACATGTTCAGAATGGCTACGGTTACATAGTTAGTCTTGCTGAAAAAAGACATAAGTCCATCCAGTCCAACCATAGAAAAAAAAAGGGTTAATCCTATACCCACAGTTGATCCAGAGGAAGGCAAAAAAAACGCAACAAAGCATGATCCAATTTGCACCTGCTGGGAATAAAATTCCTTCCTGATCCCCTGAGAGGCAATCAGATATTCCCTGGATCAACTTTACCTATAAATGTTAGTATCCAGTTATATTTTGTGTATCTAAGAAATAATCCAGGCCTTTTTTCACAGCTGTCACTGTGAAGAAACCTTTCCACGTTTGGAGATTCAATTTCTTTTCTTCCAGATGTAAAGAGTGCCCCCTTGTCCTCTGTGATGACCTCAAGGTGAATAACTCTATACCGAGTTCACTATATGAACCACTGATGTATTTATACATGTTGATCATATCCCCCTTAATCTCCTCTTCTCAAAAGAGAATAAATTTAGTTCCTCTAATCCTTCCTCATAGCTGAGCTCCTCCATGCCTCTTATCAGTTTGGTTGCCCTTCTCTATACTTTCTCCAGTTCCCCAATGTTCTTTTTGTGAATTGATGCCCAAAATTGAACTGCATATTACAGATGAGGTCTTGCTAATGATTTGTACAGGGGTAATATGATATCTCTCTCTCTGGAGTCTATACCTCTTTTAATACAAGAGAGAATTTTGCTTGCTTTAGAAGCTGCAGCTTGGCATTGCATGCCATTATTAAGCTTGTGATCTACCAGAACCCCCAGATCCTTCTCCACTATTGATTCCCCAAGTTGTACCCCCCCAGTATGTATGATGCATGCATATTCTTAGCCCCCAAGTGCATAACCTTACATTTATCCACATTAAATCTCATTTGCCACATAGTTGCCCAATTAAACAGTGCATTGAGGTCGGCTTGTAAGTTGAAGACATCCTGTAAGGACTTTATTCCACTGCACAGCTTGGTGTCATCTGCAAAGACTAAAATGGGATTTTTAATCTCAGACCCTATATTGTTTATAAATATACATAAAAGTAATGGTCCCAACACTGAACCTTGGGGTACACCACTGACAACCCTAGACCATTCAGAGTATGAATCATTAACCACTACTCTCTGAATACAATCTTTTAGCCAGTTTTCTATCCATTTACATACAGATTTTTCCAAACCCGTAGATTTTACCTTACAAATTAGCCGTGTGTGGGGAACTGTGTCAAACACTTTTGCAAAATCCAAGTATAGCACATCCACCGCCACCCCTCTGTCCAAGGTTTTGCTTACTTCCTCATGAAAAGAAATCAGATTTGTTTGACAACTTCTGTCTTTCATTAATCCATGCTGTCTGTTGCTTAAAATATTTTTTTCCAGCAAGAACTCATCTATGTGGTCTTTTATTAAACTCTCCAGTATCTTTCCAACTATAGAAGTTAAACTAACAAGTCTGTAATTACTTGGTAAAGATTTTGACCCCCTTTGTAAATATTGGCACCACATTGGCCTTACACCAATCCAGTGGTACTATGCCAGTCATTAAAGAGTCCCTAAAAATTAGAAGCAATGGCTTTGAAATTATAGAGCTCAATTCTTTAAGGACTCGTGGGTGTATGCCATCCGATCCAGGTGCTTTATTCACCTTTATTCTGTCTAAATATTTTTGGATCATATCAATTGTGAGCCAATGGGGATCATCTGTAGCTGTGTCAATACATTTCTCATTATGGAC